TAATGGCTGAAAGTATTTATATGATCCGTAGCCTTATCGGACCAAGATAAAAATGCGTGTATATGCATGAAAAGAATAGCACATCAAAGCAGTATGCAAAGGGTTTGCGCACAGGGAAATGTTTTACCCTTCGAACAAATGTATATTACTTTGTGACATTCATTTTTCACAAGACGTTTTATTTTCGTGGATGTTTAAATCGTGATCTAAATAAATACTTGATTGGATACGAACACTAATGCACCCAATCCTTCGGTAACTGCTTACCAGGAATATCTTATTTTAAAAAATAACATAAGTTAATCAAAGGAACTGTATGTTTGATAAGTGATTGAAAGACATTAAAACAATAAAAGTAGTTGCTGAAATTGCGCCCATACCCAACGAACTCAACATTCACATCGAGTTGTTGATCTCAACATATTTTCCGGTTAGTTCTCGCAGAGGAATATACAAACAAGAATGTACTTTAACGCTGGCACCCTAAGGTTCTACAGTTGATGTTAATAGCAAATCGGTCCTGTGTTTGCATGACATATTTCTATGCACTGTAAGTATTTTGTACTATTTAGTAGTACTTCGAGATAAATTTTCGATGTTTAATTGTTGTGTCTGTTTTCAGTAAATTATTTTGTTTGTGCTGCCTGCACTTTTCTATATGTCAAAACAATGTCAAAGCCAGAATCGACAAAGATAGAGTACTACGCGTTATTTTGAAAATATTATTGCTGAATATTTAGCAGAAAACATGCTCTATTCTAAAAGAATAAAACTATGCGCACAAACGCACAAAAGCGGAATATAAAAATTTATTCATAATCGCAAATGAGAGCAATGTTTGCCATAACGGACAAATGTCCAAGGAAAAGCCCTCAAATGTAGATTAGACGGCTTTCAAAATGGTGGCAATTTTCGACAGCATGCAGAAATGTCTTAGGAAATGTCGTTAAATATAAATCAAAATGGACTGCTTTCCTGACCTTATTGCACTTCAATTAAACAAGAAGAACTACAAATTGGTTGATAATGGAAAAATTAGGCCAAAAACGTGTATCTAAGAAAATTTACATGCGAAGAGAAGGACGAGACAAATGGCGGCTCAAATTGAAATGCTCGCCTAAGGAATGCTGAGTAACTTTATCTTCACATCACAAGGAAATAACGTTTTCGGAGGCTCACCCGTTATCATCACCGAATGAATAGCACTCCACTGCAATGATCTCAATTCCCCGTATAAAGTGTCTTTTTCCAGTAATTTCAATCGGATCTTCTGTCGGCCGAATTGCGATATAGGCATTTTCACTAGGTTTCGTTGACATAAGCACGTCAAACACCTCTCCAAAAGAAGTAAAATGAGTCCACAAGTCCTCTTCTGTAATTATCGGCGTCAGACCACTTACGAAGAAGTCGCAGATGTTCGCAGATTCAGCTACAGCCTTATGAAACTGCAGGTGTAGTCTTTCCGGCTGAAAGGAGTTCATTGTGCTCGATGATGTTTGCTTCGTGGGCTGGTTGGTTCTACGGTATAATAACACAGAAATGCAATTCGTTTGAAAAAGACTCATTTGGGCGTTTTAAACACAGACAATCGGTATCTACCGCCTTCGTCTTAGAGTGGCGGAGTTGGAGGAATAAAGGTTAAATTAATCTTTTTTTGCATGACGTTCTTCTACATGCTGATTCTTTCGATACAAAATATTCAAATCTGGCAATAATTTTTATCTCTTTCATACATCCCAAAGGACCCTTTGTTAGATATGTTTGCGAAATTTTCAGCTGGCATTTTGTTGTTGTCAAAGTAAGCTTGTGGTACCTGATGTCTAATGTTTCTTTTTTTAGGTTCTTTTTGCAAGAAAAAACTCTGGTTGACATAAGGAATCAAGCAAGTGTAAAAACGTTACTTTCTAAGTCGCTGAGTGGAATGACGTACCTGTAATAACCAGGAACTATTTTAGCCGTCAATATGTAATGCATATTACAGAACGTGGCCGTCGTTGTCTCTGGTTAAAGTTCTTCCATTTCACGTATAATATTCTAAGGAACTTTCAATATCCTAAATAACACTAATCTCAGTTTTCTAATTGGACTTCACCCATTCACTAGCAGGAGAACGTGTAAGACATTAATTCGCACACAGTATATATGATAAGCCATACAACTGTCTTAAAACATTGGGCTTTCTGACGACGTAAAATGAAGACTCAAACTGATGGCGTGTAGGCGAGCGTTGTCCATTTGGAATTTAGTAATGCTTGTCTTATATCTAGTACAATAAATACCAACTGTTAAACGTTAACATAAGCTTTGCGGTAGGGTAGTGTAGGGATGGTGACTGTTTCCAGGTAATATTGACAGTAGATTTGCAATACATGGACGTAACTCTCCGTTCCGCCCTCCAACCAGTGTCCAGTGTCAACACAGAGGCAAGTAGCCCGGAGGTGGAGACGGCTCAGGGGGCTGCGGAGATCCTAGGCGCACCGTTACATCTTGTTGATCCCACCTGCGTGGAAGAGTCACAAAGGCAACGTTGAGAGGGAGCCATTGCGGCCTCTTTATCAGTCTGCAA